GGAGGGAAGCTGGGAAGACTCCACTCTGCCTTTGGGCAGCTCGGTGCCAGTGGGGAGATGATGGAGGCACATTCAGGTCAGCGAGCACTTGCAGGGAAGGGGGTGCAAAGGAGCCCCAAGGGCTAAGCTAGGCTCAGGACAATAGATCAGAGGTCAGGTACAGGGAGGTGCAGCCAACAAGGAGACACTGAGGGTTCTTGAGGAGGGGAGCAGGGCAGGCAGAGCTGGTCCCAGGCCCAGGCCTGCAGACGTGCAGACCCAGCTAGACGGGAGAATCTAGAACTGAGAGGGCTGGGAGCTGGTGGCAGAGCAGGACAAGCATCAGGGACAGTGGCCCCGTGCCTACCCCACCCTCCCGGCCCAGTGGTCCTTGCCCTGGGCCCCAGGCCACTCTGTGCAGGAAGAGGGTCTCCCTGCCTGGAGCCGGCCAGCCCTCCCACCCAGGCCAGGCATCTGACCTCCACTATCCACCCTCTGAGCTGCTATGGGCTGCGGAGACGTCTGGAAAGATACGGCTCCCGCTCCTCCAGGAAATCTACTCCTTCTCAGGGACCCCCTGCTGTTGTGCTCCTGTGGACTGCACAGCTCTCATAACTGATAGTTCCCTTTTCATTCTGACTACCAGGAATCATAGAACCAACCATTCAGCCCGATTGGACCCTATGTGTCCATGTTCCAATGTGCCCCAAGCCTTTCTTTCCCGTTGCATCCGATTTTCCCCTGCCTTGGGCTGTCTACCTTGGTATCACAATAATACTTTTCTCCCACAAATACTTATTGGAATAAGGTAGGTATAAGTATAAAAATAGCTCATGTGCAAAATGGCAAATCCCCTCCGTCCCCTCCACACTCACCTGCTCCCCAGGGAATGAAACACTCAGAGGTCCAGGGTTGGGTGTGTCATGGGGGGAGCAGTGGGGGCGGAAGCAGGCCCCAGCCCTGCCCCTCTTGGCTCTGACATCTTGTCGCACATCGGAGCCAGGAAGGCCCTATTCTCACCCTAGAATGTCCTACAGCCCTGCTGATAACATTGACGACGTTGACTCAAATGTACTGAGTGCCTACGGCATGCCGGTGTCATTCCTAGCGCGGTACCTGAACGTGCCGTTACCCGCTAACAGCCTTGTGATATGAGTTCTGCTATCATTTTCCCTCTACCCAATGGGAAAACTGAGGACCAGAGAGCTTAAGGAGCGTGTCTAAGGCCACAGAGCTGGTACAGAGCTAGGACTCATGCCATGCTGTCTGATGCCACGAACCAGGTTCTTAGTAGCTACCCGTCCTGCCTCAGGGACTCGGGTGGTGCACATGACTTTCTGAGACTGAGATTGTCCGGCGCCTGCCCCCTGCCCATCTGTGCGGGGTTGCCCCTGCCTCCCCACCTCTGTATATCCAGACTGATCCAGGCTCTCCCTTTCACACCAGCCACACAGGCAGGCATCAGGCTTGGGCCGCCGCACCAACGGCGGGGAGGGGGTGGTGTAGGCAGAGGGCATCAGAAGACGCTCTGGAGCAGCAGGGCAGGGGGAAGAAAGCCAGACTTTGGCGTCAGAGGGGCTTGGGGCCCTCTTGAGCCTCAGTTTCCACATCTGTAACATGGGAACAGGAAGGACCTGCAGGCAGGTTAGCCGGGAGGAAGTGTGTGCTATGCCTCCCTCAGGCCTGGCCACAGAAGGACTGGCAAATAGCAGCTGGGGCAGGGTCCTGGCTCCTCAGAGCCTTGAGGGGCTGTCCTGGTACTGCCCACTGAGAAAAACCAGAGCTGGGTCCCCCAGGACTTCCCACCACCATTACGGTCAGAATCCTGCCCCACAACTGCCTAGCTGTGTGGCCTTGGGTGAGTCACTCCGCCCCTCTGGCCTTGGATAACAGGAGAATGATGTTTTCTCATGCTTGGCATACAGCGTCTTAGCCGAGAATTTTTTTTATTATCCAGGGGTATCTTCCAGCTCCCTGGACCCCCCTCTCCATCCTGGCAGGCAGGCTGGGGTGGGGGCAGAGTCATGGGAGGCACATGTGTGGGAGAACAGACTGGGCCCAGACACCAGGCTCCAATGTAGAAGCCGCCCCCAGGTGCCAACACTGTAGGAGGTGGCAGAGAGCCGCCCCACTGCCCTAGTTTCCCCAAGAGCTTCCTTGCTGACGCGGGAAGAGACTCAGCACACAAATGCATATGCACATGCATGCACATCCCGGCTCACGCGTGTCCCCTGCCCAGGACAGCCAGAGCCTGGCACTATAGCCAGCGCTGCTCCTGGTGCCCTCAGCCCCTCCCGGGCACAGGACATGGGAAGCGGGATTCCATCCCGCTCTTCTGCGACTTGGGTCAACTCAACTTCCCTATGTGGGCCGCCATTTTTCATAGGGAAAGGGGGATCATGGCATCCCTTTCCTGCGTGAGAACCACTGACGTTCCATGTGCGAAGAGCCTGTGCCAGTTCCTTCTCCTCACTCTCCTCCCTGCCACCATCCCAATGTGCCAGGCCTCCCCGCCCAAGCCCAGCATTGCCACTGCTGCCTCTCTGTGCTCCATTAAAGCAGCCTCCTTATTCCCTCCAGGCCCAGAGATTGTATCCCTCTCTGCCACCTCCACCCTGGTGGCTGAGAGCTCCTGTCACTGAAGCAGGGACACGCTCTCTCCAGCCGCACACCCGGGTCCCTCCTGTCCAGCATTACCCCGACAGCCCTCAGTCACTGACACCCAGAGGGAGACGGCAGGGAAGAAGCTGGAGCCGCCTCCCCCCCACAACCACAGCAGCCTGGATACAGGAACCCGAACGTCACCCAGTTCAGACTGAACTGGCTCTGCTGCCCACCCCACCAGCCCCCAACAAGGCAGTGACAAACACAACACCTCCACTGACAGGCCCTCACCACGTGCTGGGTCACGTGTAAAGCTTCTCATGCCGCATCTCATCTAATCTTCCCAGCACGCCTATGAGGAAACAACTGCTCTGCCCATTTTACAGATGAGGAGACTGATGCAGAGAAGCCACGAAGCCAAGTCTCGCTCAGGACTTGGGGTGGGCACTCTATGCTTTACTGCTGGGTCTACCCACAGCTCCTGAGAAACACCCAGGATGGGAGGACTGGCAGAAAGAGCAGCGGGGCCTCCCTCTACGCCGGACTGAGGTGAAAACCAACAGCAGTGTTTGCAGCAGACACATTCTGACCTTAAAGCTAAAAATTAAGTCCCCAAGGATAGGATGTTGTTTAGAGACTGGCCGGACACCCACCCCCAGGGTTCTGCTCCCGTTTTAGAAACGAGGGTAGTGGTAGCTTGGGTCTGCATCTCAGGCGCACACAAAATGTCAGGCTGGTAAACTCTGGTGGTGAAGATGGGGTGGCAGGAGGTGCCCAGCAAATGCCCCCATCCAAGCAAGAACCTGTCCCCAGGCCAGCTGGGCTGTGCTGGCTGGACCGAGGTCCCTTCTGAAGTGGCCTTCACGTGTGCGGTCCCGGTAGGCGGGCATGAACCCCAGAGTGCTCGAGTGTGGCTCCCCCAGAGGCACAGCTTCTGACCAAGGCTGGCCACACCCTGCGCTGGCCCAGCCGCACACAGAGCCCAGTGGCTCCCCGCTCTGCACCGGGACAGACGCCGCTGTTGTAGCCGTGGCTCCTGGGTTTGTATAACGCCCCCTTCCCGGCTCCCATGCCCCCCAGCACGCACATTAGGGCTCTCATCCCGTGCACAGGCCGCTTTTATTTCAAAGATTTCACGAGGCCATCCCACGAGTCATAAATAATCAAAGGTGCTCAGATGCTGCGTCCAGGTGTGCTGACTGACAGCCCTCCCCGCTGGCCGCGACCCGCCTCCTGGACTGGAGCCTGCCCCTTCCCAGCTCTTCCCCGCAAGGCACCCCTGCCACTGAAGCCCGTGTCTGCAGATCCCCAAATTGCCTCCCCACCCTCCTGCCTGTTTCCACGCCCTCTGAGTGCGCGACGGCCACCCCAGAACTCCCCAGCCAGGTCGGCATCCTCGGTGAATCCAGTGGGGCCGGGGCCCATTCAGCCACCCACGGGATGTTAGCTGAGGGCAGTTACTGTGGGGTAGCTTCTCAGAGGAGTCATACTCCAAGCAGAGGAGCTGGCAGCGCCCAGATGTGGAGCAGAAGGAAGACAGCGTGTCCAGGAAAGATGGTCGTGCCAGAGACAGAAACCTAGAGACCAGCCCGGGGCTCCCTCTCACAATCTTGCTGGCTGTGGCACATCTTCATGGACGCAGCCTCCAGCACCCACCCCCATGCCATGACCCCTGGGGGCCTGGCCAGAGGACATGGTGGCCAAGGGCGTGGCCTCTAACTACAGCCCTCCTCCCAGGTGACCCACCGCTGGGAGACAAAGTACAGGGAGAGAGATGGGTGAGATCCAGGGGACCTGGAGTGGAAACCAAGGCCAAATCCTACCTCGCCACCTCGGCAAGGCAACAAATTGCTCCCTCTCACGCTTTGCTGTTCTAAGATTAATGAGCTAATTAAAGTATGAAGATGGTTTCTTGTACACTTAAAAACAGGTGATCAACCATCACACATTAGTCACAATTATCACCCCTCCTCCAGGCAGTGTGCCTGGATTAGGTCCTGTATCAACCATCACACATTAATCACAATTATCACCCCTCCTCCAGGCAGTGTGCCTGGATTAGGTCCCTCCAGGATCCCCATGTTCAAGGCTGGCTGGTGCCTGAGCCAGGCACCCATACTCTCCAGGGCTCCAGCGGCTGCTCTCCAAGGGCCCCCAGCACTCATAACCCTGACCCATCAGACCAGGGAGCCGCCTTCCTCCTTTTTCCTAGAAGCTCATTCCCAAATCTGCCCACCTGCTACCTTGCCCAGTGACTCAATAGTGCCCCTCCCCAGGAACATGGCTGGAGAGGGGAAAGGGGGCTGCAGGAGATGGGAGAGGAGAAAGGGGTGGCAGAGAGAGGGCCGCTGCTCTGCACACACCCCTCGGCCCCGCTGCACCCACCAACACAGACAGACAGCGGCTGCTCAACTCACTCAAGCATCGGTTCAGGGCTCCAGGCTCAAGATGGGGTCTCCTCCGTGGGATACCTGCAGAGAGACAGCAGGGAAGAGGTGAGAGGATGGTCAGATTGGGGCCTGCAGACCCGTCCTGCAGTCAACCCCACCCAAGTCTCTGCCCAGCCTGGGCTTCCCGATGCGCTGGGCCAGATGGAGCAGGAGGAGACCTGGACCCTGCCCTCCGGAAGTCTGCGGGCTGCCTAAAAATGCCACCTTCATTCCAGAGTCAAGACTTCATTTTCAGTAAAGCGAGGGTCTGGGCTACAGCAGGCTGGGATTCAGGCACCCGCAGTGCCCCAGGGGACACACAGACTAGAGTAGCAGCACAGCCGCCACCTATCCAAGCCTGTCTGCAGTGGAAGTCACAGTTCTCTGGCCCCTGGACACACAGGGAACCTCAAATCCTCCCTCCTGAGGCCACATGTGGTTCATGGTCCCAAGGAGCACAGAGGAGCTGATGGGAAGGGAGTACCCAGGGCCTCCTTCCCACATCTGCCTGAAGCCTTTACCTGGGCCCAGTCTCAGCTTTGTCTCTGGCTCACCCTGCGACCCTCACCGTGCCTCCCATCAGTACAGGCAGGTGCATGCTGGGACTTGCGCAAACACAGACTGCTGGGCCCCACCCCGAGAGTCTCCATCAGTAGGTCCCAGGGGGTGGGGGCCTGAGGATCTGCATTCCCAGCAAGCTCCCAGGTGATGCTGATGCTGCCGGCTGGGGATCACACTTTGAGAACTGTTGGCCTTGAAGATGTGTCCAGCCTGGAAAGTGCAAAGCCCATACCCTCAAGGAGTTGACAGGCTAAATGGGAGGCTATGCGCGCGCACACACACACACACACACACACACACGCATGCACACACATCTGACTTGCAGTGGCCACGGGAAGAAATGTGGCTTCTTAACACTAAGGAGATTCATCAGGGGCAGGCTGTGGCTGGTGCAGTCATGGAAGGCTTCCTAAAGGAGGTGAAGGCCTAAATGACGACCTTCACATATTATAGTCTTATAATGCAAGTAGCACACAAAAGCATTCTCTTTTTAAGAGGTTCAAGTATAGTGGTCTGTACAGGAAGCACTCTCTTTCCCAGTCACCTCTCCAGACGTACTGACTGCCATCCCTTTGGCGTGAAACTTAACTGTGCATGTGCAGAGGTGCACACGGACGCGGGGGTATGTGCCAGGGAGCACAGCCTCCGTGCTGGTGAGCACCTGCCTTCCTCACTTCACAGATGTTTGAGACCTTTCCCTGTCCATACAGAGCAATAACCACGCTTGTGCTCATTGAGCACTTACTGCGTGCCAGACACCGGGATGAGTGCTATACCTCTTAACCCACCTAATCCTCTTAACAACTCCCTAAGTGGGTGCTGTTTTGATCCTCATTTTGTAGATGAGAAACTGAAGTGGGCCAGGCATGGTGGCACACGTGTGTAATCCCAGCACTTTGGGAGGCTGAAGTGGGAGGATCGCTTGAGCCCAGGAGTTCAAGACCAGCCTGGGCAACATAGCAAGACCCTGTCTCTGCCAAAAAAAAAAAAAATTAAAAAAATTAACTGGGTATGGTGGTGTGCACCTGTGGTCCCAAGTCACTCAAGAGGCTGAGGCAGGAGGATCGACTGAGCCCAGGAGGTGGAGGCTACAGCGAGCTATGATCATGCCACTGCACTCCAGCCTGGGTGACAGAATAAGACTCTATCTCTAGAAACGAAAAACCAAAAGAAAGAAAGGAAAACTGAGGTTCAGAGTGGAGTGGTGACCCGTAAGCCATCCGAGCGTGCAGCCGGGGCACGATGGAGCCAAAGCTTGGACCCAGGCTGTGAAGCTCCAGCATGTTCTCCTGACAGTCACAGTTGAGCTCTCGTGGTGCTGCACTGAGGCATGCCACATGGGGTGTCCTCTCGCCTGTTTAACCAGACCCCCAAGGATGAGTAAAGCAAGGGCCTGGGCTACAGGAGGCTGGGATTCAGGCGCCCGCACCACCCTGGGGGACACACAGGCTAAGAGTGCAGCCACCACCCATCCAAGCCTGTCTGCAGCAGAAGTCACAGTTCTCCGGCCCCTGGACACACAGGGCTGCACCTCAAATCCTCCCTCCTGAGGTCACATGTGGCTCATGTGTTTCCAGTTTTTTATTTCAAACATAGCCGGAAAAAACACCTTGTCTCACTGCACACATGTGCAAGTATTTCTCTAGGAGCATTCCTAAAGGGTAGATCAAAAGATATACACGTTTTACATGTAGACACTTGCTACCAAGTTGACCTCCAAAACACATCTGTACTGATCCATTTCCCCATGTGAGCACTGCTTCAGAACCGTTCCCGCTTACTTGGCACCTGCTGTGCAACGGATCCAGTAACATCTGGGTTGTCACTTCCACTCTGCAGAAAAGCAAACTGGCTCAGAGAGGTTATGCTGTCTGCCCAAAGTCACAGAGCACAGCAATTTGCCTCAATATTATAAAAGAGAAGAGTGAGGAGGGAAGAAAGGAGGAAGGGAGGAAGGCAGGAAGGGAAGGAAGGAGGGAGAGGAAGAGGGAGGGAGGGAGAGAGGGAGGGAAACTGCTTGGCCTCACATCCCTGCCATTTTTCTGCTTCCCTTTAATAGCAAAACTCAAGAGCTGTCTCGACTGCCTCCACGCCCTGACTTCGGGTTCCCTCTCCAGTTGAGCATCTGTCCCCACCACTTCACAAAACTGCTCTTATCAAGGTCCCCCAGAAACCTCAGTTTTGCCAAGCCCAATAGTCATTCTCCGTCCCCCATGGTCCCTGCGCTCCCAGCAGCATCTGACATGGCTGGCTGCTTTCTCCATCAGGAGACATTTTATCTCCGAGTTTCCAGGGCTCTGCCTCACCTGGGTGTCCTTGACACATCCCTCCCCTGTTACCTAACTTCCCCCCCAGCATCTGAGGCCCCAGGGCTCTCCAGGGCCCCCTCTCCATCCCACCCCATCTGCGCACTCCTTAGCTTTCACCCCCCGCTGTGCCCCCAGGTCCCTCTCACCAGCCTCAGCGCCCTCCTGAGCACCAGCTCGTGTTCAGAGGCCTATTTGTCATCTCTCCTTGCTCATCTAACCCGCCTGTCCAAAACAGAACTCTTCATTTTCATCCCCAAATTACGTCTCCCTCCATCTTGACTTTCTCTCTCCCTCGATCCACACCCAAGCCATCAACACACCCTGTCAGGTCTACCCCAGAACACAACCAGAAACTGACTGCTTCCCCCGCGCTCCTCTGCCCACCCTGGCCAGCTCTTGCCTGGATTACTGAAACAGCCTCCGCCCTCACTCAGCTCTTTGCCTCCACCCCGGCCCCAAACTACCACAGCAGCATGACGGTGGTGAGAATCAGGCCCCGCGGCTACCCTGCCATAAGCCCGTGGCACAGACTCAAGTCCCAACTCTCTCCAAAGCCTCCGAGGCCCTGCCCACCTCTCAAAAATCATCTTCCACCACAATCGGCCTCCCTCCCACACTGGCCAGTCTCAGGGTCTTCGCCCCTCTTGCTCCTTCTGCTGAAAGTTCTTCCCCAGGCCTTTTTTTACCATCCCAGGCACCCTTGGGAAGATGCCTACCATGTACCCCAATCTCTCCCAATTTTCTTAGCATTTCCCCCGCCTGACATTATCTTGCCTATTTATGTGTGGCCTTGTTTCTTGTGTACCTCATCACAACATGAACTCCATAAGGCAGGAAGGGCCCACAGCCACCTCTGGATTCGCCTCTGTACTATGCACCCAGGAGATAGTCAATACATACTTGCTGAAGGAGGGAAGGAAGGAAGGGAGGGAGGGAGGAAGGAAGGAAGAAGAAAGGAAGGAAGGAGGAAGGAAGGAAGGAGGAAGGAAGGAGGGAGGAAGGAGGGAGGAAGGAAGGAAGAAGGAAGGAAGGAGGAGGAAAGAAGGAAGGAAGGAAGGAAGGAGGAAGGAGGAAGAAAGGAAGGAGGGAGAAAGGAGGAAGGAGGAAGGAAAGAGGAAGGAGGAAAGAAGGAAGGAAGAAGGAGGAAGAAAGGAGGAAGGAAGGAGGAAGGAGGAAGGAAGGAAGGAGGAAGGAGGAAAGAAGGAGGAAGGAAGGAGGAAGGAAGGAGGAAGGAAAGAAAGAGGAAGGAAGGAAGGAGGAAGGAGGAAGGAAGGAGGAAGGAGGAAGAAGGAGGAAGGAAGGAAGGAGGAAGGAGGAAGGAAGGAAGGAGGAA